TACTGGGAGTAAGAGCTACAGTGTCACGAGTACGTGTAAGGCACTAGATCCTGGTGTGAACCAAAGCCCTAAAAATTGAATGATGGGTCTAAGAAAACAGGGCTAATTTGCCACAGAGATTAGGATTTGAAGCAAGATGAGGGCCCTGACATCCAGTACTCCAATTCTCTGTGCTCTCTTCTGTCCTCCTCGCTTCTACGGAAGGTGAAGGGACAATGACACGTAGCACAAAGGGGGTGGATGCCTCCAGTCCTCATCTCCATGCCTTTAGCTCAAGCCCGTCCCTGAGAGAGTTGTCTTTCTGACATGGTTCCTGAGACTTTTCCCTTAGACTAATTAGTCTCTTTGTGTTTCATTGTTTTCATATGTAAAACAGAGATGATAACTGCCTCATTAAAGTTTTCTAAAGATTCAAATGAATGGCCTCTCCTAAGACTGTTGGTGAATAATTGCTATGTTTCCAATATAGGTCCAATTTAGCCTGACAGTGGCTATTGGAATTGAGCTCACCATCACGCATGGATTAGGCTGCTAACCACAAGGTCAGCAGTTTGAAACAACTAGGCACTCCATGGGAGAAAGATGAGGCTCTTGTAAAGATTTATAGCCTCAGAAACCCACACCGGGGTCAGTAGTTCTACTCAGTCCTCTAGGGTCAAAATGAGTTGGAATCAACTAGATGGCAGTGAGTTTGGTCTTGGTTGGTGTGTTAAGCTGTGTTCTCTAGAGCAACAAAACTAGTGACAAGTATACATAGAATTGTATATCAAGAAAGTGGTTCACACAGTTGTAGATGTGATTCGGTCCAGTCTAGTTCAAGTCCATGGGTCAGATGGAGGCTCTTCCTGACTCCTGTAGTGCTAGGGCTTGTGAACCAAGAAGCACGAAGATGAACCATGAAGCAGGAAGCCCACAGGCTGGTGGAGGCTGAGGCAGATGAATCCAGGGTCAGCAAGTGTGGCTTCAGGGTGCAGAGTCTAATAAATCCAAGATCGGCAGTCAATATGGGAAGCCACTGATACCTCCCAGGGTTGGCAGGCAATATGGTGAGTTGATGAGCCGGCTGAGAGATCTGGACCAGCAAGATGGAGGAGAAGGAAACTTTCTCAAGGAAGTTTGCTTAAACAGGAGTAGGTCATACTCATGAAGAATTTTATCAATATTAATTTTCAATGTTATCGAGACTGTCACTTGATCAAAAGGGTGGTTACTACACCTTATTCATAAGGTTTTCAGTGGCTAACTCCTCAAAAGTGGGAAGCCTATTTCTTCTTTCGTCTATTCTTAGTCTGGAAACTCTGCCGAAATCTATTCACTTTGGGTGAACCTGCTAGTTAGAAATGCCCGTGACAGGGCTTCCAACATCACAGCAACACACAAGCCACCACAGTACGATAAAACTGACAGGCAAGTGGTGGATCCCCTTTCCATACTTATTCAATCTGTATGCTGAGCAAAGAACCAAAGAAACTGGGCTATATGAAGAAGAGCACGGAATCATGATTGGAGGAAGACTTGTCAACAACCTTTGGTATGCAGATGCCACATCCGTGCTGCTGAAAGTGAAGAGGACTGGAAGCACTTGCTGATAAAGAGCAAGGATTTAAGCCTGCAATATACATTACAATTTAATGTAAAGAAGACCAAAATCCTCACAACTGGACCAATAAGTAACATCATAATAAATAGAGGAAGGAATGAGGATTTCATCTTGTTCAGATCCAAAGCAAATTCTCATGGAAGCAGCAGTCAAGAGATCAAAGGACATGTTGCACTGCGGAAATCTACTGCACAAGACTTCTCTAAGGTGTAGAAAAGCAAGGATGTTACTTTGAGGACCAAGGTGCCCCTAGCCCAAGCCATGGCATTTTCAGTTGCCTCATATCGTGAAAGTTGGATGTTGAAAACAGAAGACTGAAGAATCGATGCATTTGCATTATGATGCTGGTGAAGAATAGTGAAAGTATATGGACTACCAAAAGAACAAACAAGTCTATCTTAGAAGTACAGCCAGAATCCTCCTTAGAAGCAAGGGCTGTAAGGCTTCATCTTAAGTACTTTGGACACGTTATCAGGAAAGATGGGTCTCTGGAGAAGGACATCATGCTTGGTCAAGTAGAGGGCGGTGAATAGGAAGATGACCCTTGACAAGATGGGTTGACACAGTGGCTACAACAATGGGCTCAAAGAACAATTGTGAGGAGGCAAGGACAGACAGTGTTGCACTCTGTTTTATAGGGTCCCTATGAGATGGAACCAACTGGATGACACTTAACAACAACCAGTCCACCCTAATCATCTCATACTTGCTTAGCTGCTCACAGAAGATCTTGTCATGGCATTGATTATATTATATTCGATCACATCATGGGAGAGTCCTGGCGCAGCCAAGTTAACACAAAATTCAACTATCAGAGCTTGAGTTCTTTAGTGAGTGTGATCAAGATGAGCCAGTTATTGTTTTACTATTGTTTTATTGTCTTACTAACCCTAAGAAGCAATTGAGTTATGTTTTAAAAAATTATTATTATTATTGAATCTATTTTGGCCACTATCTTTCAGTTTGTCATACTATGATGGCTTGCATATTGTTATTATGCTGAAAGCTATATCATCATATTTCAAACCCAATGAGGCCAAAAGGCGCAGGCAAAAAGCTACCCTGGAGTCGATTCTGACTGATAGGGACCTGTAAGACAGGGATGAACTGTACCTGTGGGTTTCTGAGACTGTTTACAAGACGGAACGCCCCATTTTGAGGTTAGCAGCCCAGCGCATAACCCCCATGCCATCAGGGCTCCTTCAGTGTTGCCTCCTAGTCATGTAGATCCACCCCTACCCACCCACCCCCCCCATAAGAAACAACAACAACCAAGTTCAGAGCTGGAAGGAAGCTTCAACATCATCCAGTTCTTTTTTTTGGTTTTTTTAATATATATAAATATTAGAAAATTAAGGCCAGAGAGGACTGTGTTAGTCTAGTTGACTAAAGACTCACCCCAGTCCAGATTGAGTCCATAAGCCCAATATTAGCCCATATGTCTGATTCCAATCTATAAATTCCTCTTCAGACTCACGCAACACGTGTAATGATGCCGAATGCAGGAAGATCACAGACCAGTGGGTGGAAAGTCTTGTGAATTCAGTGGCTCTGGAAGCATCTGAGCGCTGGTGTGGGTTTCGACGTGGCTCCTCCAGCTCCAGGGCTCTGGCTCCATCAGCGTAGCTCCATCTGACTTGTCCACAGGAATGTCTTGCAGAAAGAGTCTGTGTCCCACCTCCAGGGAGAAAGACAGGAGTCCCCAGAATCCTCAGGAGAGGGCCATGCCCACACAGAGGCCTCATTGGCTGTGACCTGATTGGCAGGCTAGACTCCACCCCCTTCACAAGTTGACAGATTAAGTAACTGCCATAAGGATGTTCCTTGCTCAATGTACTTTCTGGAGGATCTAACACTAGACTCCATCTGCCCTGGTACTTTTTGTGCTCCACCTGCTCCCAGTTGCACCCTATAACCACATTGAGCTCTCCTGCCTCATCCGTCCAACCACCCCTGACACCACAATGGTTTTGTTATATTTCTGCACGTAGAATTACAAAGGGCTAGTATCTATGAGTGTTAAATATACTTTTGACATCCAAGATACCAAAGCAAACTACTCACGTGAATCAAACAAGAAGCAGTTTTGCTACCTGTGGGGCCATTGGCCACATTTTCAACCCCTAGCTTTCAGTCACAGCATCAAACCAGCAGAGGGAAAAGTGAGTAGCAGAGAGGACCTAGGAGGGCAGGTGCTAAAGTTAAATATATCTTTGTAGGTGCAAACGTGGAACACACGTGAGACTGAGGTTATTTATCATGTTAAATGCCATTTTAAATGCATGCAGAAGTGATTAGCTTTGTTTTTCTAAGTTTCCTGTGTTGATGGATTTTACAATTCTAAAGGTAAAGCACAAATGCACCCTTGTAGAAAATTCATGTAATGCAGATGAGGCAACCATTGTTACTAGTTTGCTACCTCTCTATCTAGACTTCCACTTGCTGATAAATGCTTACATAGAAACGAAGACATATAAGGATTTTTGCATATATAGGACCACACTATCATTTTTGTAGCTTTCTTGTTTCACATAACCATCTCTTTTGAGCTAACTCTACAGATGTAGGTGTATGTACACACATATTTTTTTTTTTAAAGCTACTGCCTAGAAAAATTAATCGGGCTCTTCAGTGGGCAATAAGTCTATGTCAGTGAGGGAAGAGAAGCTCAGAGTAGGGGTGAGAACAGTGGTACAATTCAGTGTGTAACCAAAGTCACTCGATTTTACATGCAGACTCTTGAATCGGTTCATGCTGTGCCGGCCATATTCTTGACAACAACGCAACCATTATAATCTAAAGAGAGAAATGACAGCCTGAGATCTGGTCAAAGGAAGAATGCTCCTTGGTTTGTTTGTAATTCTTGCAGTGAGACTTCTTGTGGGCTTTCTGTGTCTGCCAATCGCAGTGGAACCCTGCGAGGAGGCACTTCTCTAGAAATGGAGATTCTCACGCACACAGACCCACACATTTTGCTACTGAGAAGGGCATGCGAAGAGCTGGTGTGGGTGCCACACGATTCCAGGATTTCACAGGTGGTGATAATAGGCCGCTGTGGTCTGGCTGTCCGCTGTGGCCGAGGGAGAAGGCTGGTGGTGTCCACACGCAGCCATGTCCACACACGCACAGCTGCAGGCAGCACAGTGGCTAATTGGACTGCCAGTCAAAACCACCAGGGCACCGAGAGCCCAGAGTCTGCCCAGAAGAAAAGTTCTTCACTCTGTAAGCCAACTGGGGTGGTTTGACCACTGCGGGCGGCCAGTAAAATAAAGACAGGATCCCAAGAGCCGGCCTGCGCGCATGCTGATTGGCAGAGCTTTCCAGAGCTGCCAGTTAAAGGTTGTTGTCTGGGTGGAGAGGTTTTGGCTTCCCTCGAATGATGCATTCTCTATTTTTGCAGTTGGCCGCCCAATCCCAGTTCATCAGACTCTGCACCCAACCCGCCAGCAGATTGAGGAGTTGCATCAGACTTATTTGGAAGAGCTCTCGAAGTTGTTTGAGGAGCACAAAGGAAAATATGGCATCCCAGAACACCAAAAACTCATTTTTAAATGATCACATGGTCCAAAGAGCTGCCGGTGGACGGAACAACCTTGCAATAGGAGAATAAATATTTTCAACCCGTTTTTTTGGTTGGTTGTTTGTCCACTGATGGTGGCATCCAGTTTATAACTGAAAACGATTATGTTCTGTGGCAAATAAAAAATACACCCGCAGATGATTATTAGAGCCTGCTGGAAAGGACATGACCATTTTGAGTAATAGTCCTCCTTTAAGAAGGCACATGTTTCCAATTACGCGTGAACGACCTTAAAAGTAACGGCTTCAAACCGAATTTGATCTTTTTAGGAAACTTCACCAGGTCTCAGATGGTGTCCTCAGTAACCATGGCAGCTGGTGCTCAACACAGCTGGACCATTTAGGAGCCAGGAAGTAAGATAATTTGCCGTAGAGAGCTAGAGGAGATCATTTCTCTCTCTTTGTGTTTTTGCTTGAACAGACCATTTGGTGGGAGAAAATCTCATTTTAATACTTAGCAAAGTTTATGCTCTGGGTCATGCCAATCAATCTGTTTTAAAACAACAGTGCCTCAGGGTTCAGTGTAGCAATAATGAAACTCATAACCTTCCTCTAGTTCTTAAACGCTTCCTCCCCCTTCCCCTCGCGCCCGCCCCCCACCCCCACTATCA